ACCGTGGACGTAGCGCCACCTGAGGTCGCTTTAGCCCAGGTCATGCCGGCCCAGCCCAGCGAGGCTGCGCTGGCTCAGGACGTACAGGCACAGGCCCAGGTGACCCAGGCCAAGCCTGAACAGCCGGCTCAGGCTGCACCGGTCCACTCTCTCTTGCCCAGGCAAGGGGCAAGAGCCTGCGGCCCAAAAAGAAGATAGGACGCCGACTTTTACGTCCCCCCTCGGCCACGTCCTCTAAGCCTACCTCAAGTCAACAAATCGAACCAACTAGGATCCCAACACTAGTTGAGACCCCTATATTGACCCCAAACACATCCATTGGGCACACTATTACACCTAGTGGGCTAGACTCTACTGTGCCCCATAGGCCAAACCCGACTATACCCACTAGACACCTATCATGGGCGCAACGAGTGTCTAACCCCTTTGTCCCCTCCACAGAGACTGTCACACCACAGGAACCGCTACGTCATGTACTATTCCCAATCTATGATACCACTGTCCCAGTGCGAAGCTATAGCGATGATGATGGGAGGAGGACAATAGCTTTTACTTATGAGGAGGTCTCCCAGATGGCAGCCGCATTCCAATATACCTTAGTTGGTCGTTTCACTACGAAACGACCAACCATAGGTGACATAGAGAAGATTTACATGGCACCTGGAAATTTTCAGGGCCGAGTCTCCATCGGAGCTCGAGACTATCGTAGCATATACATCCGCTTTGAGCTAGAAGCGGATTATCGCCGAGCATGGAGCCGACCCACTTGGAGAATGGGAGAGTCTACCCTCCATACCCACAGATGGACACCACAAAATGACATAGGGCACCAAGCACATCAGTCTCATGTGGTTCCATTATGGGTGGGCTTCCCTGGCCTACCTGCCCATTTATTTACGCCAAAGGCACTTGAGTCTTTGGCAAATGCGGTGGGAACATTCATATGCCTTGATCCAGGCGTAAAAATGTTCAACCGACCCGGATATGCACGAGTTTGTATAGAGGTGGACCTAATGGCCCCCCTCCAGAGGACTCTCGTTATACGTAGTGGAGATGATGAACTTTATCAGCCCATCATTTATGAGAGACTACCGTATTTCTGCACACATTGTGCGATCTTGGGCCACACTGTCAGCACATGCCGTCAGAAGGCATGTACACCACAGACGACTACACGAGCCTTTCTAGTACCGATCTCATATGACGATTACCTCGTCGAAATGAGAAAGGATGCTCAGAGTGCTCGTCATCCTCAGAGGTCGATTGCCCCTATGGCGGCTCCACCTTCCTTACCTCGGAAGGCACAGGAGAAGCCTAGCTCACTGATTGAGACACAGCATACACGGCGAAAGCCGGCAGCTGGACGCCCTTCTTCCACCTACACAGGGGGGAAGAAAGGAACACGAGAGGCTACACCTTCCCCCTTGAGCAAGGGAAAGCAACCCCTAACCTCAAACACCTTCGAGGTCTTAGGGGCTTTAGATGAGAGAGACGTTGAGGGACCTGCACAAAGGGGAACTAGGCCTTCCAAAGGGCTAGCATCCTCCACTACGAGGGACTCACCTAGTCCAACCCCCCATACTAGATCCCCCCGGGTTATCCGACCCCCCATACTCACCCACCCCACTCCACCCATTAGTGTCTCTCCACCACCCAGCTCCTCCCCGCCCATTCACTCGTCCCCACGTAGTAGGAGTCCTTCACCTCTTAGTCCCCACCGACCGAGGTCTACCCCTTTCTCTGAGGGTATAGGCTTGGGCTCTATCCATCCCCCTCAAATCCCCGTTGATGATCTATTAGGAGGGTCTACCCCCAGCATACTTCCTATTAGTACATCTTACGTAGCCCCCCATTCTGATTCTTATACCCTCCCCCCCTCTCCCCTATTACAACCGTCAGATCAGTTTCCTATACTTGATCCACCACCCGCTGATTCTAGGGAGAGCCCCGATAGAGGACAGTGCTTAACGAATCGTCAAGCACCACACCCATCCTCCTCATCTAGTGCTCATGATACTACGGGCCACACGACTAGTACCCATGAGGATGGTAGCTCTGAGACTGACATTGAGACTACCTACCTAGAGGAGGGATATCAGACGGAGGTTAGGACCACACGACTCACTAGACGCTCACCTTACTCCACGAGATCTAGGACTCGTGGGGCCACTCACTAGATCATGATACCTAGCATCATATGGAATTGTCGAGGTATAGGCAACCTCGAAACCCAATTCTATATCACTAGCCTTATCAGACAGTATCGACTAGGTATAGTAGGCCTCATTGAGCCTATGATATCACCAGATCGTATCCAACCCTTACTTAGGAGGTTAGGTATGGATCATTTTCACTCCAACCCCACGAATCATATTTGGATCTTTTGGACTAGACCATACTCTATGGAGTTGCTAGTCGAGGGACCCCAGCATATCACTATGACGGCTCGAGATCTCACCCAAGAGTTCACCTTCTCGGTCATCTATGCATCACATAGATCCGAAGAAAGAGAAACTCTTTGGGCGGACCTAGTTCAATACGTGAGGGACTACCCTACACTAGTTGAGTCTCCTTGGTACCTAGCAGGTGACTTCAACTGTGTCCGTAATACTAGTGAACGTCAAGGTGGGCGAATCCCTAGGGCCCGTAATATGGAGATGTTCAATGATTGTATTTTTCGATTAGCTCTCATTGAGCCACCTACATCAGGCGAGGCATGGACGTGGAGCAACAATCGAGGGGACGCTTTGATTTATGAGCGTATCGATCGTTGTTTCATCAACAGCATCGCCATGATGCGACATCCCATATTAGTCACGATATTACCCCGTTATAGGTCAGATCACACCCCGATCCTCATACTCCCTAAACAGAGTATGAGCACCCACAGACCCCCCTTCAGATTTCAAACCATGTGGCTCCAACATGAAAACTTTCAGAGTTTCGTACGGAATCACTGGTACGGACAGATCTCAGATTCTCCTATGGAGAACCTTAGCTATAGGTTAAGGAATCTCAAACTCCACCTTAAATGGTGGAACCGACATATCTACGGGAATGTCCATACCCAAGTTGATGCATTGCAAAAAGAGTTAGCAGAAGTTGAAAGACTACTGCAAGCTAGATATTCAGATGCTGCTTGGGAAAGGAGGAGTAGAGTGAGTGACCAGCTTGATGAGGTTGTGCGACGACAGGAGTTATTCTATCTCCAGAAATCACGCATCCAGTGGTTACAAGAGGGTGATAGAAACACTCGTTTCTTTCATGCCTCGGTCGCTCATCGCTCACGTTCAGATTATACCTCTCTTTTAGAGACATATGATCATAACCTTTCCCGCATGCAGGAGGCAGGGGTTGAGTACTTTCGTACTCTCTTAACCTCTCAGTCGATTGAGATTTCTGATGATATGCTCACTTCGATCCCGTCATTGGTCACTCACCGTGAGAACTCTCTCATAACAGCCATACCCACGGGAGAAGAGATCAAGGAAGTAGTTTTTTCTATGAGTAGACATCGTGCACCCGGGCCAGATGGTTTCCCAGTTGATTTTTACATTTCATGTTGGGATATTGTTGGCACTGATCTCATCCAGGCCATCAAGGAAATCTTTCGTCGTAAACTCTTTACACGAAGTTGGAAGGCCACCTTCCTTGCACTTATACCGAAGGTGACTACCCCAACCTCATTTAGAGACTTTCGACCTATCAGTTTGTGTAACGTGTGTTATAAAGTTGTATCTAAGATCGTTACACGTAGATTGAGTAGTTTCCTTGATAGACTTATATCTCCAGAACAATGTGGATTTGTCAAGGGACGGTACATTCACGATAACATCATGCTAGTACATGAACTAGCACAGTCCCTTGGCCATGATTGTCGAGGCTCTAACATCATCATCAAATTAGACATGGAGAAGGCCTTTGATAGGATAGAGTGGAGTTTCCTCATTAAGGTTCTTAGACGCTTTGGGTTCACCGATGACTTCATTGACTTAGTCGATGCATGTGTTAGGGAGAATCACTTCTCTTTATTAGTGAACGGTAGCTCCACACCATTCTTCACGGCCACGAGAGGTCTACGACAGGGCGATCCACTATCACCCACCCTCTTCATCTTAGTTGAAGAAGTCCTCAGTCGATCCCTCACCCGAGCGATCAATCAAGGACTTATCCGACCATACTACTCGAAGAGGGGTTGCCCGATCATCTCACACTCCCTCTTTGCTGATGATGCGATACTCTTCCTCAATGGATGTGAGACATCCATTAGAGGGCTCATGAGTATTATCTCGAGGTATGAGCGAGCTACAGGTCAACTCGTAACTGCCTCGAAGAGTAGCTTCATAGTAGGCCCTTCTACCCCCATAGGGACCATACGACGCATCCAGGGCCTAACAGGGTTCTCTCGTGGACACTTACCTTTTGACTATCTAGGATGTCCTATCTTCCTCGGCCGTAGGCGCATACACTATTTTGACGCCCTAGTGGGCAAGTTGAGGAAGAAACTAGCAGGATGGAAGTTACAACTTCTATCCCCTGGAGGACGGATCCAGTTGATACGTCATGTCCTCATGAGCATGCCATTACACCTTTTGGCAGTCCATGAGGTACCAGACACCGTCTTACAGACTATTAGACGGATATGTACGTCCTTCCTTTGGGATGGACAACTTGAGGGACCTCGTCGTCAACGCCGAGTTTCTTGGGAGAAAGCATGTCGACCTACGGATGAGGGTGGCCTAGGTATTAGGCGCCCTCAAGATGTACTTAACATGCTTCAAAAGAAACTCGTTTGGAGGATGAGGACCACACCATCGGTGCTAGGTACTTTTGTGACAGCCAAATATGGTGAGTGGGCTCGACAGCCGGCCGACATCAAAGGAGTCAAACGATGGGCAGACTGGCAGCGACATTGGTTAGAGATGGTGCCTCTTATTCGTTGGCGAGTGGGGAGAGGCGAGATCAGTGCCTGGTACGACACTTGGCTAGATGACATACCATTGGCCTGTTTTACCACTTTCACATCTTCTTGGCCTCACTTGACGGTAGCCCAGTGACGTGACTCAGTCGTTGTATGTTAAATCACGCAAATTTAAAATTTATAAAACTAGAAAATACGAATTTTCGGATATTTAGAAGTATTTCAAAATAAATTATCATGATTTAAGTTGGGGGGTGTGATAAGTCTTCATTATCATGAGTTAATAATCAGTAAATAATCAGTAAATGAAGCTATTCCTACTAGAACTAATGATCATAAAATCGTGATGAAATTTGTGCAGGAAAATATTTTTTCGAGATTTGGATGTCCTAGAGTGATTATTAGTGATGGAGGAACACATTTTACAAATAAAAATTTCAGAGAACTGTTGAAAAAGAATGGAGTACACCATAGAGTAGCCACTCCATATCATCCCCAAACAAATGGGCAAGCTGAAGTAGCAAATAGGGAAATTCAGAGAATTTTGAGAAAAATAGTTAGACCAGATAGGAAAGATTGGCCCACGAAATTACAAGATGCATTATGGGCTTATAGAACAGCTTATAAAAATCCCATAGGTATGTCCCCATTTCGTCTCATTTTTGGAAAGCCATGTCATCTTCCTGTGGAAATAGAGCATAAAGCATTATGGGCTATAAAAAATTTATGTATGGATGAAAAATCAGCTGGTGGGCATAGAATTTTTCAGTTACATGAACTAGAGGAGTTGAGGAATGAAGCTTATGAAAATCATAGAATATATAAAGAAAAAACTAAAACTTTTCATGATAAATACATTAGCAGAAAAAAATTTGATGTTGGACAAAAAGTGTGGTTATATGATTCTAGGCTGAAATTATTCCAGGAAAATTAAAATCAAAATGGAAAGGGCCTTATGTGGTGGAAGAGACATATGATCATGGGGCTGTAATGATTAAAGATCCTAAAAGTGATCATAACTTTAAGGTAAATGGACAGCGGCTTAAACATTACATAGAACATGAACGCCTTGCAGAAAAAGAAATTTTATTATTAAAAGAAATTCAAGAGTAAGATCAAGGAGTCCAGCTGGAGACATTAAATTCAGCGCTGCATGGGAGGCAACCCATGGTTTTTATTTCATTTTGTTTGATTTTTTTTAAGCTCTGTTTTTCTTAGAATTTCGCAGTACTTGTTTCTGTATTTGTTTTTCTGTCGAAAAAGTGCAGGAGGAGTGTAAGATGAAGTGGAAAATTAAAAACGAGGTTGAGGTGATGTCTTTCTGAGCTTCATCATTTATGAAAATATTTTTAATGCTTAACTTTGCAGATATGCATGCTTCACTTGAAAATTATATTTTCTGTATATTCTGTTTCGAGTTTTCTGTGTCATTGAGGACAATGTCATTTTTAAGTTGGGGGGTGAAGTATTCATTATTAATTTATGCTGTAGGACGATTAAGAATATGTGTTTGCATTTTTTTTTTCTTCTAATGTTTGGGGATAAGGATCAGGTAAGATCTTACCACTCCTTAATGCATTCACTGTCCTAACATTTTCATTTCGTGGGTTTTTTCCTAGATTCATGCTACTAGACTCCCCATGCTGAAATCCTATTGTTGGGCGGTTCCCTGGATTTTCTATGGGCTGACTAGGTAGCTGTCCCTCTTCTCTCTTATTCCCAAGGGCCTCTATAATTTGTTTCTGGTGCAGCATCATTTGGTTCATAGTTTGTTGCATCATTTGGCTCATTTGCTGCATCATTTCCATAGCATCAGGTTGGATTTGAGAGGACTGATTTTTCTGAAATCTGTTTTCTTGTTTTGGACGAAATTCAGAGTTTGAATTGGGTCTAAGTGCTTCTGGATTTTGAATATTATTTGGGTCTCTCCATGAAAAACTATTCCTCCAATTAGGATTATAAGAATTTGAAAAAGGTTCCCTGTTTCTATTAAAACCGTGAGCTACTTGCACTTGTTCTTGCATAGGGTGAAATGATTGATCTAAATTATAACATTGAAATTCAGAATAATCGTTTTCACCATACATAGGACATGTACTATTCGAATTAAGTTGAGGGTTAAAAGGCTTTCTAATATTGTCAATAAGTAAATCAATTTTTTCTAATCTTTGATTAATCTGATTAACCTCATTTCTAAGTTTAGAATCATCATCATGATGCAATTCATAAATTCTTCTCTTCTTATCCCTGTCATATAATTCAAAAGAGGCTTGATCTCTAGAATTTTCACTTAAATTCTCATAAAGACTGTAAATCTCATCAGGAGTTTTCTCCATAAAAGCTCCTCCACATATAGAATCAACCATATTTCTATGTTGTTCTAATAATCCATCATAAAAAATTCTATTGAGCTGCCACTTGGGTATAGCATGATGAGGACACTTTCTAAGTAAATCCTTGAATTTTTCCCATGTCTCATGCAAAGTTTCTCCTGGTCTTTGAGAAAAACTCCATATATGTTTTCTCATATTTTGAGTTTTTCCTAAGGGATAAAATTTTCGAAGAAAGGCCTGTTCTATATCTTTCCAGCTAGTTAATTCTCTATCTAATGTGGATAGCCAATGACTAGCTTTGTCCCTAAGTGTATGAGGGAATAATTTCATCTTAATAATTTCCGGTGTAACTTGAGGGAGATTAACTAAATCACAGACCATATGAAATTTTTCTAAGTGCTGATGAGGTTCCTCTAAAGGCAATCCATGAAAATTAGGGAGCATTTGAAAAATTCCTGGATTTATTTCGAATTTAACAGTGGGTGCTAATGGGACTCTAATGTTAGATGCTCTTTGAAATGAATCAGGGATATAATGATTTTTCATGGCCATAGGATTGTTCTCAGTTTGACCTGTACTTCCTTCAGGATCCATCAAAATTAATTTTTCTTTCGGATTTTTATTTTTGAATGAAATAATGAAAGGATTTTCTAGCCTTGGATGCAAGGATCTTCTACCATGCATAAAAATCAATAAATTCGAGAGAAAAAGTTAGTAACTGTTACCCTCCTTCAGGATGCTCCAGTCCTTGCCGTGCTTCTTTTCGTTCCCTTTTTCTAATAAAAATCAGCAAAAAGAAAATAAAACAAGAGTAAAGTTTTTTTTTTTTTTTTTTTTTGTGTACTCTAAGAGAAAAACAGAAAAATACTAAATATTATGCAATACATCCCCGGCAACGGCGCCAAAATTTGACGTGACTCAGTCGTTGTATGTTAAATCACGCAAATTTAAAATTTATAAAACTAGAAAATACGAATTTTCGGATATTTAGAAGTATTTCAAAATAAATATATCAATTATAATTCAATAAAAATCCCAAAAATAGTGGTAATTTTCCAGGTCGATCACAGGGATGTAATATAATATCTGGTAATTATTCAGAATTTTTCTCAATGAGTACGATTTTCTTACGAATTTTATACTAGGAAATAAAAAGGAAATATATTTAAAATTCACAAAAAGAAAAGGAAATAAGGGTGCGGACGTCAGGATGACGTCAGCGCCCGGCGAACGCGAATCAGGCGGAAACAGAGTTCCGCCCGGCGATTCTTACGTAGGCGATTACAGACGACTCAATTAATCAAATTAAGATCTGTAAAAGCCGGAAGAATCGTAATTGAACGAAGTATAGTTTGGTAAATAAAAATCAACAAAGTATCACTAAATGAAGCGTAAATTAAATTGAAAGCAGGAAAACAGAGTTCCGGCGTCGCGACGGCGATGCGTCGGCGATGCACCGGAATCCTGAGCGTTCGGGAGGATCGTCGTGCAGTGTCCACGGCCTCGAAGGCTCTCCTTGGACAAAGACGACGTGGGCAATCTCTAGATAAAGCAGGAAAACAGAGTTCCGGCGTCGCGACGGCGACGCGTCGGCGATGCACCGGAATCCTGAGCGTTCGGGAGGGTCGTCGTGCAGTGTCCACGGCCTCGAAGGCTCTCCTTGGACAAAGACGACGTGGGCAATCTCTAGATCTTCTCGCGAAGTCTAGAGACCAATGAAGTGGGTCGTCGAATCGTCTCCGGCGGCTGTCACCCGGCGGAGCGGAAAAACGGCGACTTTGCGGCTCTCCGGCGGCTGTCACCCGACGGAGAGGGGCTGGATGGAGGTGAGGCGCGTGTTAGGGAGCTTCATCCTCAGGTCCGCGCAGCAAGAGGAGGCTCTTCATCGCATCTGGTACGCTCTCAGGAGGTGGCGACTGGTCTCCCGGCGGATCGTCCTCTTCCCGACGACGGCTTGTTCGTCGATCAATCGGAGATGATTTACTCGATGGATTGCGATCCTTTTATCGCGAATCGTTCAGAAATTTTAGTAGCAATGCTCCGCGAATCGCGTTGACGAGATTTTCGCCGATGATCCAGCGATTCCGGTTGCTTAATCCTTCACCGGCGATCTGCAGGAAAGTCGCGATAATCAGTTAAAAATATATGAATTTTGACACTGGGAGGATTCGAACCCGCGGCGGTCGCCCGCCCGTTACAAGGTGGATTTAGTCCCACATCGGTTGTGGGCGGATTATTCGGGCGAATATAGAGTAAAGTTAGCTTTCTAGGCAAAGTCCTCTCGCGTGTACGACCACTCCTTGCCCCACAGCCGGCTGACCACCGGTGACGTGGAAGGGGAGTGGCGCACACGTGCCCCTATCGATCCAAGCAAGCCGCTCGAGCCCCTGCTCGCGGCTACTCCCCGACTGCGCTTCCGACCCGCTTGCGGGCCCGGCTGGCCGGCGGATCCCCCATTTTGCAATATTTTTATTTTTATTTCTTGTTCTTCATTTATCTCAAAACTAAGACTGTAAAAATCGTATAAAATCACATAATTACCCAAAAATTCACGTTAATCAACTGAAAACCACTTTTCATGCTTTAACACAAATATAAGTCTATTTATCATGAGTTAAGGCTAAAACTATATTATTTACTGATTATTAACTCATGATAATGAAGACTTATCACACCCCCCAACTTAAATCATTGCTAGTCCCTTAGCAATGGAATTACGAAAATAAAAATTTACAAATCTCAAACATCACATTTCAATACAGAAAAGAAATACAATTAGAAATGATGCACCTTTAAACACTTTGGATTCTTATATCAAGTATTTAAGAATGATGTCAAGCGCTTAAATGTTTAAACACTCCTTGGAATAACAATCTAGACTTCACTTCTTCTATTCACATCTTTATCACTTCTTCACTCATAGATGTATTTACAAGATGTTCCAATTATCAATACTCATCCAAGAATAATATTGATCTTACATTTCCCTTTTTCTATGACTTGATTTTTGAAGTTTGCACTATATTTCTTCCTTCTTTTTTTTTTTTATATATATATAGTGGATAAGTAGCTTTTCCTGTAGACAAATTTCGACAATAAGAATGATGTCTCACACCCTCCATGTGTACTCTTCATTTTCAGGGCTTTCACTTTATCCACTTATTTTTCAGCAAGTGTTTTTCTATGCACGATTTTCGACAATGAGAATGATGTCTCACACCCTCCATGTGTACTCTTCGTTTCTAGATTTTTCACATTGCTCTCTCTTTTTTTTTTTTTTGAAATAAGTGATTTCTCCTCACAAGTCCTATAGATCAGGGTGCAAAAATCTCCATTAAACTCAAATGATCAATCAAATTTTCACATCAAGTAAATATTATCCATCAAGATCATGAAGTGAAAATCTGTAAAATCAAATCCATGTTATCTATCATGTATCCAAGGAGTATTCCAACATTTCATGCTACTAGATCATTCTTTTGACTCAATAATAATCTTCCTAGTATCTTTTGGTATCAATCAATCTAATTGATTTAATTTTTCATGCATGCAATATGATGTAAGGAATTTGTAAATTAGATAGTTCTGACAATTCCGTTTTCTGTTTTCAGTTCTATTTTTAGCAGGAATAAATTTGTCAAAAATAAATCAAAACTATCTTCTTTATAGCTGTAATTTCGAATTTCAGTAATATATATCTAGGGGATTGAAATGTGAGAAAAGGGTCTTCTAGAATTTCAAATTTCGGGCTGTTTTTTGTCTGCTGTTTTTGACAGTCTGTTGTTTCTGACAGAAAACCAGAAAATAGATGTTGCAATTTTTCCGAATTTTATTTTATTTTTATTTTTTTAGTTGCTGTTCTAAGTTGAATAAAATGCAAACACATATTCTTAATCGTCCTACAGCATAAATTAATAATGAATACTTCACCCCCCGACTTAAAAATGACATTGTCCTCAATGACACAAAAAATCGAAACAGAATATGCAGAAAATATAATTTTCAAGTGAAGCATGCATATCTGCAAAGTTAAGCATTAAAAATATTTTCATAAATGATGAAGCTCAGAAAGACATCACCTCAACCTCGTTTTTAATTTTCCACTTCATCTTACACTCCTCCTGCACTTTTTCGAAAAAAAACAAATACAGAAACAAGTACTGCGAAATTCTAAGAAAAACAGAGCTTAAAAAAAATCAAACAAAATGAAATAAAAACCATGGGTTGCCTCCCATGCAGCGCTGAATTTAATGTCTCCAGCTGGACTCCTTGATCTTACTCTTGAATTTCTTTTAATAATAAAATTTCTTTTTCTGCAAGGCGTTCATGTTCTATGTAATGTTTAAGCCGCTGTCCATTTACCTTAAAGTTATGATCACTTTTAGGATCTTTAATCATTACAGCCCCATGATCATATGTCTCTTCCACCACATAAGGCCCTTTCCATTTTGATTTTAATTTTCCTGGGAATAATTTCAGCCTAGAATCATATAACCACACTTTTTGTCCAACATCAAATTTTTTTCTGCTAATGTATTTATCATGAAAAGTTTTAGTTTTTTCTTTATATATTCTATGATTTTCATAAGCTTCATTCCTCAACTCCTCTAGTTCATGTAACTGAAAAATTCTATGCCCACCAGCTGATTTTTCATCCATACATAAATTTTTTATAGCCCATAATGCTTTATGCTCTATTTCCACAGGAAGATGACATGGCTTTCCAAAAATGAGACGAAATGGGGACATACCTATGGGATTTTTATAAGCTGTTCTATAAGCCCATAATGCATCTTGTAATTTCGTGGGCCAATCTTTCCTATCTGGTCTAACTATTTTTCTCAAAATTCTCTGAATTTCCCTATTTGCTACTTCAGCTTGCCCATTTGTTTGGGGATGATATGGAGTGGCTACTCTATGATGTACTCCATTCTTTTTCAACAGTTCTCTGAAATTTTTATTTGTAAAATGTGTTCCTCCATCACTAATAATCACTCTAGGACATCCAAATCTCGAAAAAATATTTTCCTGCACAAATTTCATCACGATTTTATGATCATTAGTTCTAGTAGGAATAGCTTCATTTCCAGCTGATTTTGTAGTGCTGGAAATGGATTTTAATGGACAGTTTTATGATACACCAATCATCCTAGGGAGACCATTTTTGCATACAGCAAAGATGAATATTGATTTTCCCACAGGTATTGCGAAAATTTCATGTGGAGATCAATCAGTAGAAATTAAAATTTTTGAGGTATCAAATGATCTTAAGAAATCCCAAGTATATGATTGTCATACCATAGATCTTCTAGATGATTTTGATGATCCAGATGTTATTGATGACTGTGTGCTGGAAGAATTAGAGGAAATAGAGAATATAAATTTAGAAGAAAAGAAAGAGGAAGATCATCTGAATTTAGAGTTGAAACCGCCCAACCCATCTGGACACTTACCATAGATGGCAGTTTCTCTTGTAGCTCCTCTTGGGAGCACTTTAGAAACCGCTCCCCAAAGACATTTTGGGGAAATCTCATATGGCATCCGGCTATCACACCTCGTGTTTCGTTCTTCCTGTGGAAGTTCATGCACCGAGGACTACCCACCGACGATCGAGTGATTGTCACCGATCAGGAGGTGGAAAGGAAATGTCATTGTTGCTCCATCACGACAGACGAAAGTATGGAACATTTATTTTTCCATAGTGATATCACTGTCGAGTGTTGGCGTCAACTTCTAGCGAATTGGCTTCCAATGCTCTCGTACAGACCTACGAGACCACCACTAGAGGTCTTTAGGAGAGTCTTTGACTCACCGACGAGTGTCAATGTTTGTCCTTTCATCCGTATCTCCATAGCATATATGTTATGGGAAATATGGAAGGGACGTAACTCATCTCGATATGCAGGCCAAGTGATGCGTGCCACAGAGATTATGAGGCACGTAACACAATGGCTTCGGAGTACTCATTCCTTAGTGCCAAATAAAACGAAACGCTCGCGTTCTGTTTGTGAGGCTTTTGGGCTTTGGGGACTCCATATCATACCTACACAGACCTGGACTACTGTCCGATCTGTTAGATGGACACCACCGAGGGCTGGACAGTGGAAACTCAACGTCGACGGAGCATCTCAAGGCAACCCAGGATCATCTGGAGGAGGCGGTATCTTACGCGATAGTACAGGATGCATTCTCTTTGCCTTTTCGAACTTTTATAATATACAAACTAATACTGTGGCAGAGGCTATGGCAATACGGGATGGTTTGTTTCTTTGTGAGGAGCAAAATATTACTAACATTGTCTTAGAATCTGATTCCAAAGTGTTAGTGGACATGTTACGTGCAGACTCTTGTCCTCATTGGAGGCTCAAGAATATCTGGGCAGACATCATGCGATGTCGAGGACGCATCACAACTATTACGCATCAATTCCGAGAAGGGAATCAGACAGCTGACGCCCTTGCTGCGCATGGAGTCAGATCGCGTCGGAGGACAGTCTTCTCTTTTTGGCAGGACATGCCCCTGGAAGCCCGAGGTGCTCATAGACTTGAGCGACTCGGCATACCCTCTTTACGCATACACCGCACTCCACTACCGGCCTCTCCACGACAGTGGCGTATTGCTTGGAGGAGATCAAGGGTGGTTACTATTGGCCGCTGAAAACCACAATGGAGATACAGCACAACACGGACAACAAGGCACATCGTAATCCACCCGGGTACATTACTTCCAATCATTACTCTCCTCATAATCACATCACATCTACTATCTATCATGCTCAAGTAGTGAGGACATAGAACTATCAGCATATGTTGGCATCGGCCCACTTTTGAACTATAGGTCTATAGCACATCAGACCTGCCAAACTAGTTGTGAATCGGCAACCTAGCACCTCTCTCAAGATCTTATTAGTACCATCAGCCAGCTTGAACCCATGAGAAGGTAAAGATCTATATCCATAGGATTGACCCTCTCTCCTCTCTCTCTCTCTCGATTCTCTATTTCTTTCTCCCTCCCTTTCTCTCTCTAGAAAAAAAAAAAAAAAAAAAAAAAAGAAAAAAAGAGACAGCCTACTTCTTTTCCCGGAATCACTAGCCCATCATAGACAATTAGTGGAGGGTGAGGGAAAGGGCCCTAAAACCAAAAAACAAAAAAAAAAAAAAAAAAGGGCAACCTTTTTCCCTTCCCTTAATCACTAGCCTAATGTACACCAAATAATGGGCATTAGTGGAGGGTAAAAGAAGAGGCTCTCAAGGAGAGAGAAAGAAGAGAGAGAGAATAAGAGAAAAGAAAAGAGTTAGAACCAGAGACCAAGTCATTCCTCGTGGGGTGAAAGGTCCCTTACCTACTTAGAGGAAGTACGGCAACTGATGATACTAACAAGATCTTGGCCAGAGGGATTAGGCGCGTGCAACACTAGCAAGGCAAGTTCATATTTGGGCTTATTGTCATGCTTCAGCATAGTTCTATCCTCCTCACTGCCCTAATCACTCTTTTCTCACCACTTTATATCAATGTATTTATCTCTTAGAACCACTTACTGCAGCAAACTCTTGTCTTGCAGGAACATTGCATGGCGCACAACATGGAGCTCTCGTCCTACTCCTGTTGAGCAGATCTTCCAACTTTCATAAACTCAAAGGCTTTTTCAACCCACTACAAATCAATCACCTTCCTCAAATATGATGAACGTCATGGAGTCTATCTCTAGTATCATCACATCCCCTCTTCAAAAGAGGTCCTTCATTCTTCATGTCATCCTCGCCCCTTGTGCGAATGAGATCCCACTTATGTAACCTCGGAATGAGGTCAAACTTTTATCACTCAATCAAATTTCTTCTTCTTAAAAACCCTAAACCCTAAACCCTAAACCCTAAACCCTAAACCCTAAACCCTAAACCCTAAACCCTAAACCCCATCGGTGGTTTGGCGTCTTCATACACGCCTTTCCCCAGATCCGCCGGCCCTTCGCCAGATCTACTCCCTCAGCATTCTCCTCGCTGTTAGATTTTCCGTTCCGAAGGACTGAAAATGAGGGAGTGCATCTCGATCCACATCGGTCAGGCCGGAATCCAGGTCGGCAATGCGTGCTGGGAGCTTTATTGTCTTGAGCACGGCATCCAGCCTGATGGCCAAATGCCCAGTGACAAGACCGTAGGTGGAGGGGATGATGCCTTTAACACCTTTTTTAGTGAAACTGGTGCGGGGAAGCATGTCCCTCGTGCTGTTTTTGTTGATCTCGAGCCGACAGTCATTGATGAAGTGAGAACTGGTACCTATCGCCACCTGTTCCACCCTGAACAGCTTATCAGTGGGAAGGAGGATGCTGCCAATAATTTTGCTCGTGGGCACTATACCATTGGCAAAGAGATTGTTGATCTCTGCTTGGATCGCATTCGCAAGCTCGCTGATAACTGCACTGGTCTCCAAGGTTTTCTCGTTTTTAATGCTGTTGGTGGAGGTACTGGTTCGGGGCTAGGTTCTCTTTTACTGGAGCGCCTGTCCGTTGACTATGGAAAGAAGTCAAAGCTTGGTTTCACTGTTTACCCCTCACCCCAGGTCTCCACCTCTGTTGTGGAGCCCTACAACAGTGTTCTGTCCACCCATTCGCTGCTGGAGCACACTGATGTAGCCGTTTTGCTTGACAATGAAGCCATCTATGACATCTGCAGGCGCTCTCTTGACATCGAGCGTCCCACCTACACCAATCTCAACCGCTTGGTCTCTCAGGTGATTTCGTCTCTCACTGCCTCGCTGAGGTTCGACGGCGCCCTTAATGTTGATGTCACGGAGTTCCAGACCAATCTGGTTCCCTACCCAAGGATCCATTTCATGCTCTCGTCCTATGCCCCAGTCATTTCCTCTGAGAAGGCATTCCACGAGCAGCTCTCCGTGGCCGAAATCACTAACAGCGCATTTGAACCCTCCTCCATGATGGCCAAATGCGACCCACGGCACGGAAAGTACATGGCCTGCTGCCTCATGTACCGCGGTGATGTCGTCCCCAAGGACGTGAACGCCGCCGTGGCAACTATCAAGACCAAGCGGACCATACAGTTCGTCGACTGGTGCCCCACCGGCTTCAAGTGCGGCATCAACTATCAGCCGCCTACCGTAGTGCCTGGCGGCGACCTCGCCAAGGTCCAGAGGGCCGTCTGCATGATCTCCAACTCCACCAGCGTCGCAGAGGTGTTCTCCCGCATCGACCACAAGTTCGACCTCATGTACGCCAAGCGCGCCTTCGTCCACTGGTACGTGGGCGAGGGCATGGAGGAGGGAGAATTCTCCGAAGCCCGTGAGGATCTCGCAGCCCTCGAAAAGGACTACGAGGAGGTCGGAGCCGAATCCGCCGAGGGTGAAGACGGCGACGATGGAGACGAGTACTGAAGATGAGCTCTTCATCCCTACCACTAGCTGTTGTTGCTTTCGTATCCCCTTTCCTTTCCTGTTTTGCTATCTTTGAACCTCTGTGATGTGTACTGTTCCTATGCCGTCCTCGTTTGTCCCGAGAAAAAACTCTCCTTCAGTGTCCTGCATTCCACCTGCTTCCTTGTTGGAAATTCTCATGTTCGTTAAGTGTGGTCAATTAATGATTAGTGGACCAGCGGCCAGCTGTTGATTCTAAAAAAAAAAAAAAAAAAAAAAAAAAAAAACCCTAAACCCTAAACCCTAAACCCTAAACCCTAAACCCTAAACCCTAAACCCTAAACCTTAAACCCTAAACCTGACCCCCCTTAGTGGGAGAGTTGCCACCGGATCCCATAAGAACTCCAGAGTTAAGCGTGCTCGAGTGGGAGTAGTCCCTCGGATGGGTGACCTCCCTGGGTACGTGTGCATGCGTTGCAAGACGCTTGCTGTGCATGTGCTGAAAGGCACCGCTGCATGATTGTGTGTTGCCCAGCACGTGTTATGAACCCCTTCGTCACTATGCCAAGATGCCTGGAGCATCGAAGAATGTGCCGAGAGGCACCCTTGCCCACCATGTCGAAAGGTATATGTGGCATCCATCTCACTATGCCAAGATGCCCCCAGCAAAGAACGTGCCGAGAGGCACCCCTGCCACTATGCTGAGAGGCATATATGTGGCATCCATCTCACCATGCCAAAATGCCCCCAGCTCCAAAGAATGTGCCAAGAGGCACCCCTGCCACGATGTCGAGAGGCACAAGTGGCATCTATCTCCAAAGAATGTGTTTGAGAGGCATCAAAGTGCTTGGGCGTGTGAAGTATCAGGATGGGTGACCTCCTGAGAAGTTCAGCCCAAGACAGTTATCAAAACAAAAAAAAAAAAAAAACTCAAAAAAAAAAAAAACCCTAAATATACCCTAAACCCTAAACCCTAAACCCTAAATATACCCTAAACCCAACCCCCCTTAGTGGGAGAGTTACCACATGATTGTGCTGCCCAGCACGTGTTATGAACCCCTCTGTCACCATGCCAAGATGCCTTAAGCATTGAAGAACGTGCCGAGAGGCACCCTTGCCACTATGCTGAAAGGTATATGTGGCATCCATCTCACTATGCCAAGACGCCCCCAGCGAAGAACATGCCGAGAGTCACCCCTGCCACCATGCCGAAAGGTATATGTGGCATCCATCTCATTTTGCCAAGACACCCCCAGCGAAGAACGTGCCGAGAGGCACCCTTGCCACCATGCCGAGAGGCATATATGTGGCATCCATCTCACCATGCCAAGATGCCTGCAGCTCCAAAGAATGTGCCGAGAAGCACCCCTGCCACGATGTTGAGAGACGCAAGTGGCATCTATCTCCAAGGAATGTGTCTGAGAGGCACCAAAGTGCTTGGACGTGTGAAGTTTTAGGATGGGTGACCTCTTGAGAAGTTCAGCCCAAGATATTTATCAAAAAAAAAAAAAAAAAAAAAAAAACCTTAAACCCTAAGATGCTCCCAACACCATGCCAAGATGCTCTCAGCTCCAAAGAATGTGCCGAGAGGCCATCCTACCACCATGCCGAGAGGCATATGTGGCATCCATCTCACTATGTCAAGACGCCCCCAACTGTGAAGAACGTGCCGAGAGGCACCCCTGCCATCATGTTGAAAGGCATATATGTAGCATCCATCTCACCATGCCAAGATGCCCCCAGCTCCAAAGAACGTGCCGAGAGGCACCCCTGCCACGATGTCGAGAGGCGCAAGTGCCATCTATCTCCAAAAAATGTGCCTGAGAGGCACCAAAGTGCTTGGGTGTGTGAAGTACCAGGATGGGTGACCTCCTAAGAAGTTCGGCCCAAGACAGTTATTCAAAAAAAAAAAAAAAACTCTAAACCCTAAACCCCCTATAGTGGGAGAGTTGTCAGTGGATTTCATAAGAACTCTGGAGTTAAGTGTGCTCGGGTGGGAGCAGTCCTTAGGAAGTCTTTGGGTATGTGTGCATGCGTTGTGAGACACTTGTCGTGCATGTGCTGAAAGTCATATGTTGAGAGGCACCTTTGCCACCATGTTGAGAGGCATATGTGGCATCTATCTTACCATGTCAAGATCCCCCAGCTCTGAAGAACGTGCCGAGAGGCACCCCTGCCACCATGCCAAGATGCCTTGAGCATCAAAGAACATGTCGAGAGTCACCCTTGCCACCATGCCGAGCGGCATATGTGGCATCTATCTCTGAAGAATGTGCCTAAGAGGCACCAAAGTGGTTGGGCGTGTGAAGTATTGGGATGGGTGACCTCTTGAGAAGTTCGGCTCAAGACAATTTTTTTAAAAAAAAAAAAAACCCTAAACCTTAAAAACTCCTTTTAGTGGGAGAGTTGCCATTGGATCTCATAAGAACTCTAGAGTTAAGTGTGCTCGGGTGGGAGCCAACCCAGGATGGGTGACCTCCTTGGGAAGTCACTGGGTACGTGTGCATCGAAGAACATGCTGCCCAGCATGTGTTGGGATGAGTGACCTCCTTGGGAAGTCCCCAGGTACATGTGCATCGAAGAACGTGTTGCCCAGCATGTATTACGAACCCCTTCATCACCATGCCAAGAGACACTCTTGCCACCATGCTGAGAGGCACCAAAGGGCTTGGGCATGTGAAGTACCGAGATAGATGACCTCTTAAGAAGTTTTTTTTTTTTTTTTTTTTTTTCTTTTTTGTTTTTTTTTTTTTTTTTTTGGGATAACTATCTTAGGCCAAACTTCTCGGGAGGTCACCCATCCCGGTACTTCTTGGCACATATGCCTCTCGGCATGGTGGCAAGGGTGCCTCTTGGCACGTTCTCTAGAGCCGGGGGCGTCTTTAGTGAGAGATGGATGCCATATATGCCTCTCGGCATAGTGGCAGGTGCCTCTTGGCACGTTCTTCGAAGCTCAGAGCATCTTGGCATGGTGACAGAGGGGTTCGTAACACGTGCTGAGCAGCACGATCATGCAGCGGTACCCGGGGACTTCCTAGGGAGGTCCACCCATCTGGGGACTACTCCCACCCGAGCACGCTTAACTCCGGAGTTCTTATGGGATCCGGTGGTAACTCTCCCACTAAGGGGGGTTTCCTCTTGAGAAGTTTGACTCAAGACAATTATCAAAAAAAAAACCCTAAACCCTAAACCTTAACCCCCCTTAGTAGGAGAGTTGCCACTGGATCTTAAAAGAACTTTAGAGTTCAGTGTGCTCAAGTGGGAGTAGTCTCTGATTGGGTGACCTTTTTGGAAAGTCCCTAGGTACCACTGCATGATCGTGCTGTGCCTAGCACGTGTTACGAACCCCTCTATCAGTATGCCAAGATGCCCTAAGCTTCAAAGAACGTGCCAAGGGACACCCCTACCACCATGCCGAGAGTCATATGTGCCAAGAAGTACCAAGATGGGTGACCTCTTGAAAAGTTCAGCTCAAGATAGTTATCCCAAAAAAAAAAAAAAACCCTGAACCCTAAACCCAACCCCTTTTAGTAGGAGAGTTGCCACTAGATCTCATAAGAACTCTAGAGTTAAGCATGCTCGGATGAGAGCAATCCCGTCGTCACCATGCGTTGCGAGATGCTTGCTATGCATGTTCGGCCCAATATAATTATCCCTAAACCTAAGACCTTGCTCAATTTTTTTCTCTCTCCTCGCGGGAGCTTCTCTCTCTTCACTTTCAACTAACCTCCATCTGAAATGGCGATATCTCTTTCGTGTGACTTCCAATCGCGCTGAAATCAGTTCCATTGGATTCGGAAGCCAAAATCTATCAACTTCGAGCTTTTAAGCGTCGAAAATAGTGGATTGAAGCCTTCGTTGTCGGAATTTCTTCATTGAGAGGTATTTTTCTGGACTTTTCGTTCTAAAGGTAATATCTCTCTCATTACTTGGACCAAGTTTAATATTTTTAAATCATTTGAATCGTATTTCTGTGCTCTATATTTTTCTCTTCTTCATCATCTTCATCTGATGCTTACTTGATGAGTAAATCAGAGATTTCATCGACGGACTCATGTCCGTCGGATGAAAAAAATGAGGGAAGATGCGACCTAATAGGAAACCGCCACATGGGGCGACTCGTCCGCGGCGATAAAACGCCATCCGAGGAACCCATTGATGGCCCGGACATTGGGGCAGCCAAAGGGCGGAATGGCCGCCTTGAGAACAGCAGTGATTCGCCGTTGGCCGACGTCCCCTCGGTTTCCGCAAACGAGGGAATGGCTCTTGAGCCATTCCCTCGATCTGTGGGAAAGGGAGAGGGCACGTGGCGCCGTCTCCCTGACCTCACCGTTGATCGTGAGATTAACGGTGAGGATCGACGAGAGGAAAGGCGGGCGATGTGGGGGCGGTGTCAGCTGACGTGGACTCATCAGCTTCGGTCCTTGATCTGACCGTTAATCTTGCGATCAACGGACAGGAGGGAGCCGAGATAAAGGCGCCGCATTCTGCTGATGCCGTTACCTCGGTCCTCGTACCCATGGTGTCTACCCCAGCGGAGGCTGACGCGAACTCGTCAGCTTCCGGAGAAAATGCGTTAGGTGGCGGCTTTTCCTCGGAATCGACCCTTCATCATCTGACCGTTGATCTTGAGATCAACGGACAGGAGGAAACCGAGATAAAGGCGCCGCATTCTGGCGACGCCGTCACCTCGGTCCTGACAGCCAACGCATCCCCGCTAGCGGGGGCTGACGGGGGCGGTGCCACTAGGGTGGCGGCGGCACCCGCTCAGGCTGAGGCAGCAACACCCAAGGCCATGAAACCCATATGACCTCAAATATGTGCAAATTTGTTGATTATGCAAAATGTGATGGGCAAAGAACTAGCATTGAGATTCTACCATATGAAGGGATTGGGAGCTTGAAAATAGATCATTAAGGTACTTTAAGAGAAAATTTACATGTGCCTAAATTGAAGGTTAATTTGATTTCACCACAAAAATTTGCTAAAGATATTAATTGTCATTTTGAGGACGATGAATGTTCATTGTGCAACAAGTTATTGGGGTTGAAGATTGGACTTGTTAAGAAAAGAGACAACTTGCTCTACTAGGAAGAGGATGATCATGCATCAATTCCTTTACATTAATCACCTTGGAGTGGAGGAGTCAAGGAACACAAAATGAATAATTTATTTTTACAACACTACCATGTTGGGCATCCTTTCTTTGATCTCTTAAAAATATAGTTTAATTCTATGTTTGAAGGTGTTGATGTTAAAAACTCTAATGTTTGAGGCTTGCCAATTAGCTAAACACAAATACTCTTTATTCAGAAATTCTGGTGAACATAGTACAATCATTTTATATCTTATACACAATGATATTTGGGAGCCATCACGTATGACAAACTTGTCTAGATGCAAATGGTTTATCTTGTTTGTTGATGACTATACTAAGTTTACTTGGATTTACCTATAAAAATCAAAATCAAACACCACTCAAGTGGTGAAATCTTTTCA